CCTTTAATGAATCAGGGCACATTGGCATGCAGAACCATCTCCAGCTCAACATGACAAAGACAAAGGAAATGGAGCTCAGAGAAAGTTCAGACAGGAAGACTGGTTATATTCTTTCACACATTCATTCATCCTTTCACTTCAACCTAAACTACTTCATCTGTCTACCTGCTCTGTGATGAGCTCATAATGGGCGTTTATTCTCTAAGTAATTAACCAACCAGATTCAGGCACAACCTCTCTCAACCAATCACCCTGCTGCTGCAAAAAGCTAAAACAGTTCTCTCTCGTCCACAGTCATCCTGTCATTTCAGGGCAACCCACCACCGCCCAGTCACCTCCATTCCAGCTCAGCAGAGTCCAGATCCAGGCTCATCATAGCCTCCATCCTCTTCACCACCACCAGGGTCTAGACTCCATAGGGGGGTAGCCCATCCTGCTGTCGGCCTCGTTACCCTTCCGAGTACATGAAGTCGTCACGATGGAGTCTAATGAAAGTTGCTACACAACAAATGTGGTGTGACAGTTAATAAAACGTATGATGTCGTACACATTGTGAGTTTTTCTCACAATGAGCGCTTGGCTACATTTCTTTGGAGAGCACATTTTATACAAATGTAAATTCAATTCACATTACACAGAAGACAAAAATAAACAAATACAATATACATTAAACATTTTGAATCAAAAACACATTTATAAAAGGACCTGCACCATCCACACACACACACACACACACACACACACAAAAACCTGTTTCTGCTAGAGCGCACACACAGCACCGTACGCCAACCATACATACAGTATATGTGCACACATTTACCTGTCCAATGTTCTGAATTGTTCTTCTTTTTCTGAAATAGTTGAGCTCAAATGATGGACTAGGCCTATTTATTTTGATTTTTTTTTTTGTTTTGAAATTTAAATACTTTATCACAGACATACACAAACAGGACCTGTGGAGAGATGCTCGATGCAGGGAGCACTTCCATATATATGGTCCACACCAGGACTTGAACCAGCAACCATCCGGTTTATCCGGCCGACCCAAGTCCTTACTGACTAAGCTACTGCCGCCCGCATGATAAGCATCCTGTACAGTTTTTGTTGCATTGCCCCTCTTGTGTGAATCATCTGTATGACACAGATCTGCTAATTGGATTAAAGTGAGTGTTTTTTTTACAAGAGTTTGTTGTTTTTATCTATTCAATTTAAAGGTTTGTAAAGAGTTAGAATGATTCAAGTCTCTATTACCTCAGTGAAGATGTTAAATCAGTTCATTTATTTTTCTTTTGAGTTCAAGTGATTCTTCCTTTGCCTGCTCTTGTCCTCTCTCTTGCTCTTGAATTCTGCATGTAAAACTATGTGCCTTGTTCTGGAAGCTGCTACATTTACTAAATAAAAAAAAGAAAAGATATAGCTATATATATATATATAAATATATATATTTAAAACAGTATCAGATACAACTAACTTCTGAGCAGTTTCATATCTTTTATATAAAAAACCAACAATTGAAAGGGTGGCTGTCCAATATATTCCAGTTGATTATAACATCCAAAAAACATCAGAGACAATAACAACTGCAGATAATTTAGTTCATGATAGAGCTGTTAATGTACAAGTGTTTTTTTTGTTTTTTGTTTGTACTGTTGATGATTATTAGTTTAGTTAACACCTTTCTGATGAACAGCTGTGTGTGTGTCTATCCTTCAGTCGCTCTGCTCAGAGTCAGAGATGATGCTGATGTGTGGGTCAGTGATTCTGTCTGACTGACAGGTTGTAGCTGCATCTATTCTGCTTGTTTATCATGTTTTTCATATTGTCCTTTGTAATTAACAACAGCTTTATGATCACAAGCAGGTAGACAAGCCTGTGTGTGTGTGTGTGTGTGTGTGTGTGTGTGTGTGTGTGTGTGTGTGTGTGTGTGTGTGTGTGTGTGTGTGTGTGTGTGTGTGTGTGTGTGTGTGTGTGTGTGTGTGTGTGTGTGTGTGTGTGCTTGGTTGTTCTTTTTTGCTTTTAATGAGCAAGAGATTGCTGTTATTATCGTCTTGTGTTGTTTCTTCACACATTTCTAATGAACAGCTGCTCTGCTCTGAGAGTGCTAGCCAGCATACACACACGCACACGCACACAAACACACACACACACACACACACACACACACACAAACAACCACAAAAGTTTCAATGAGCTCTGTGAACCTTTGAGCAGTTCTGGGGTTCTTTCTGGACATTTATTTTATGCTGTACTAAACAAAGCACAACATTTAAATCATGAATATGGTCTCTGTAAAACAAGCTAATAAGCTCTGTTGAGTGAGAGAAGTGAAGGAAAATTATAAAAAAATTTCAAATCTGACGCTCATGGCGCCTTGTCGAGCACTCTTGTTCCTTTTTTCTTGTCCATGTCTACGCAAAAGGGGCAGCTGTGGCTCAGTTGGTAGAGTCGGTCGTCTCTCGGCCAGAAGGTTGGGGTTTCGATCACCAGCTCCTGCAGCAACATATCCGATGTCTCCTTGGGCAAGACAAACCCCAAATTGCTCCCGCTGCTTTGTATGTGTGTATGAATGGGATTAGCTACTTCTGATGGTCACTGTACATAGCAGCCTCTACCATCAGAGTGTGAATTGGTGTGACATGCAATGTAAGAGTAGTTTGAATAGAAGACTAGAAAAGCGCTTTAAAAGCTCAATTCCATTTGCCATTTACTTAAGTGACAAGAATGAAAAGAGAAACATATCGTCAAAGTTAAAACGGCACACACTGTGTTGCGATGCTTTACTTGTAGGCTGTTAGGAAACTGTAATAAGAAACAAAGGAATATCAAAATAATTCCATGTACAGTGTGAAACCACAAAATACATGAGCTACTGAGAACAAAAAGGTTTTTTGTACCAGGCTGTTAACATTATTTATAATTTATAATTATTATTTTAACATGGATGTAAATGAGACTTCCGGGCCAGCCAGCTTCAAATAGACCCTCAAGGAACTGCCGTTTTGACATGTTAAACTTCAGCATTGTCTTTATCTTCCAACTCGGTTGTTGCTTGATTTCAGACACATTTGATAAGAACCTAATTTTGAGTGTTCAGGTGATTATTCACTATCGCATCACACTCCAGGTATTTTATACAATTCAGGTGAACAGATGCCAAATTTTACACAATTGAGGTTTAAAGCTGTAAGATCAGTTAACATCATAAGTCTGCGGAGTGTTATCACTAAAACAATTTGGACTGTTTAATCTTAAATGATGTCCTCATTTGTATATAAAGTCAGTAATTCTATTTCTACCTCTGACTCCATGTTGTACGGTCTGCCACAGGGTTCAATCCTTGGCCCATTTTTGTTTTCCCTTTATATGCTTCCACGAGAAAATATATTATGAATAATTTAGATGGGCTTTCTTATCACTGTTATGCTGAGGATACGCAAATACATCTGTTATTTAAGTCAGATAACATCAACCACTTGAACAATTTAATGGAGTGCACAGCCACAACTGAGAAACGGATGAGCAGTGATTTTCTGCAGCTGAATACAGGGAAGACAGAGGTAATATTCTTCAGGCCCAATCACATAGAGAAGAAATTAAAGCCGCTCTTTGGTCGACTAGCACCCGATATAAAATCTACAGGTAGAAATTTTGGTATTACTTTTGATTCAAAACTTACACTCACTCTGCACATCAGTGGTCTCATTGAATCCTGTTGCTATGATCATCAGTAAGATTAAATCAACCCTGTCTTTCCCTGACCTAGAAAAGCTTATTCATGCCTTTGTTTTTTCACGTTTGGACTTTATTGCAATGCTCTTTTCACTTGCCTTAGTCAGTGCTCATTGACTCGACCCCAGCAAGTGCAGAATGCTGCTGTCCGGATTTTGACTAAAACAAATCCCAGCTCCCACATTCATTCTTATTCATAATTTTGTAACTCGCCAATGTTTTATCCTGTTTGTTTTGTGAAGCACTTTTTATCTGTATATGTTTTATTTTGTTTTAATTTACTGTACGCATTCTCTAAAGCACTTTGATGCATGAGACTGCACTCATGTGTATTTAATAAAGTGCTAAGTACAGCCTCCCAATCTAACTATTTATATTTTGTCACTTGACTAATTGAGCCTTAATTCAACCAAAATGGAGAAATAATTAAGTGCACAACAATGTCAGTCACCCTGTGTCTCCCCTCCCCCCCCTATGGTCTTGTTAAAGAGCCATAAGTGAGTGACAGACAGGAAGTCGGATCATAAAGGTGTCGGCGTGTCACCTCATCTCCTCTATTCCCATTTCAATTAACAGATCGCTTCTGGTCTGTATTGTCAGGACTCATTTCTCAGCATGTGGTCTGGTGCTGCTCTTTCTTGGCGGCAGTTTCAGGTGCTTGGCAGTGGGTTCAAATCTGTGGGATTGGCACAGAGTGGTTTCACAAGGACTGCACCTGTTGCTTTGTACAGCAACAAATACAAGCATCTACAATATTAAAAATATTTCCTGTCCAATACAAGATCATGACTCCTTAAAGTCATTTCCAACTTATTGATAATATAACTTAATACACTGTATAATAATTATTATACATTGCTTTGGCAATATTGTTATTACTTTCATATCACGAAAGCACCATAATTTTTTATACCATCTAGCATGAATACTTTTGCTTCATAAGGTATAATGAACTATACAACTATTTTAGTATTAAAATACTGATAAAATCTCATGAAGAAATAAACAAGTAGAGAAAGTGTAACCACATTTTATTAATGCATAAAATAAAGAACTGAGTCAGAGGTAGAGTTTCATGAATGAGGAGCTCAGCTGTTATTGCTTTGGCTCCTGTCACAAACACACAAAAGGCAATACAATATTTTACTGTTTAAATGTGTATTTCGTTTTGATTTTTTTTTTTCTACTACAGCTATTATTTCAGCTTGCCATCTTCTGCATTGGCGGTAGGTGGCGGTAGTGCGTTAAAGAGACTGTTTAGTAAAAGAAAACGAGGGAAGAAGAAAACTCCAAGCTGCATGCGGATGTGATACCCGCCGACTCGTCGTGTTTGTGTACAGGGGGGGACTCATAACATTGTTGAACATTATGTCTTGTCTCAGGTGACTACATTTGAAGGTATGTTGGATATTTTTTAACTCAAACATAAAATAATTAGAGACTGAATTGCCCGTACGTGTGTAAAAGGAGAGGTTTATATACGTTTATCCATACTTCCATAATATCCACCAACGAGGCTGTATTTGTATGAAAACTTTATCATACTCACCTAAAAACCATCACTTTATTGTCATCATTATAGTAGGTCCACATCCAAACATTGTCAAGGCCTATTATGGTACCTGCTTTCCTATCTTGAGCACTTCTGCCTCAATCACAAAGAATAAAATGTTATAGTTATTTCAAAATGTGTGTTTCACTACTGCACTGGACATAAAGGATAGATGATTTATTTTTTCAAATGTTATCAACTTGCTTTTTTAAGCAATTCTAAAATGAGCTAAGTGTCCAGAAATGCTTTAAAGGATACACATTCAAAATTAAATAGGTCCCTCAATGGTATCATGTTAATTATTAAGCCAAAGTCTTATGATTATAATAATAATAATAATAATAATAATAATAATAATAATAATAATAATACATTTAATTTGTAACACACTTTACATTTTTGCAAAAAATCTCAAAGTGCTACAGGAAGAAAAATAAAACAGAAATAAAAACAAATTTAATCAGCTAAGAAACTAATGAAACTAAAAGCACAAGCAGAAGGCTTTGTTAAAAAGGTGGGTTTTTCGGGCCCTTTTAAAAGCGTCCGCAGACTGTGGGGCCCTCAGCTGCTCGGGGAGAGCGGAGAGGAGCAGAAGGCCCGGTCACCCATGGTGTGGAGTTTAGTTCTGTGGGGGGATGGAGGAGGTTGGTGTTTCCAGAGCGGAGGCTTTGTGTGGAGGATTGTGGGGTGAGGAGTTCTTTGAGATAGAGGGGGGCATTTCCATGGGTGCACTGGTAGGTGAGAAGGGTGACTTTGTATTGAATCCTGAATGAAACAGGGAGCCAGTGTAGTGTCTGAAGGATGGGTGTGATGTGTTCATATTTACGCACCCTCATCAGAACCCTAGCAGCGCTGTTGATGTTGTGATTACCTTTCAAATGGCCATGTTGCATACCGGTAAGTGGTTTAGAGGTTAAAAAATAAGGACCAATGTTTCCTTTTTAGCCTTGACTTGAATGAACTTAGTCCATTTTGGATCACAACACAATTTGAAATCGAGAAAAAGTTTTTTCTGTCTTCAGAAAGAAATTAAAATGTCAGAATACACCAACAGCAGTTTCATCGTTCCATACACAGCTCGTTTTCAGATCCAAAGGCACTGATGTGGCACCTCCAACACTGCCATTTTGCAGCCGGAGGCGGGCATTGCAGTTATTTAATAATGATTAATAATTTAACATGAATGAAATCACATAACCAGGCACGTATTCACCATATGAGGAAGTTGCCTCGTTTTTCTTACTGCATAATTATAACCTAAATAACTAGTACTGTACAATGTGTGAATAAAATGTTGGTCTGATGTCACTGTGGTCTTGCAGCAGTGATGTGTGAAGCAGCAGAGAAGGACCTGTATGCTGTCCTAGGAGCCAGCCCCTCAGACTCGCTCAAAGAGCTCAGACACAGATACCAGCAGCTGGCTTTACAGGTAAACACTGCTCACCTCTACAGTTATACTTATCCATGGATGCTGCATACAGTATGAAAAAGTGTCTAAATATAATTCTATTACCAGTGTTCTACTAACTTAATGATGATGAGGATGATGATGGTCTCGATATTATTGATGATGGTAATGACGATGGTTTTTGTTTGATAACGATGACTTATAAGATGGTTTCTATACTGATTAGAGCTCTCAAGAACTGTCATCAATGTTGTGTTTTGCCTCTGGTCACTTCCTGTCAGCACCTGTGTGTCCAGTCGGACTCAAAGCTGATCGTTTGCTCTTACTGACATTGTTCCCTTTTTTCTAGATCCTTGCTTGTGTTGTACTTACTCTCTGATGTACGTCGCTTTGAATAAAAGCGTCTGCTAAGTGAATTGTAGAATTGTAGTGTACTGCTCAACTAAAAATTGACCCACTCTAAACTGTAAACAAACAGTGAGTCAGTGTGACTGACTTTAAAATACCTGTTGTATAAATCCACCTTTTTTGAAATGGTATGTGTGTGTACTTTTGTGTGTGAAAACGTAGTACCATCCAGACCGACTTGGCGATGCATCTTCTTCAGAAGCCGACTCTGCTGTGAAGAAGTTTTTAGAAGTAGATGCAGCCTGGAGGATTCTCAGTGACCAGAACAGCAGGAGACAGTACGACTTACAGAGGAGAGGTAGGACTTCAAATATCAGTTCATCTGCTTTTATTATCCACATGGCTGAAACTACGGTTTTCAGCATCTGATTCATCTCACCTGACAATCTGTAATGACATAATGACACATCAATGGCTACCTACCCTGCATATTTTCTTGCACATTGTTAACTCGGAAATTTCTTTGTATATATTTTAAAAATAACATGTGGTTATAAGCCTACACTTGAAAAAGTTCCCGACAGTATTGTTCTGCACCATCAACTCATTTTTGTCATGAGCTTGTCTTGAAGCAGATGTTTCATTAAAAAAAAAATTAAAAAGTGATTTTTCTAAATGCTCCATGTTTTTTGAGAAATACATGACCTGTACTGATGTATAGGTTTGGCAGCAAATTCTCTGTAATTTACACTAACATGTGATTAAACACACCGTATAATAAACAGTTGTTAAATCACAAATATTGAACAGAAATCTTCTGAATTTAAAAATGACTTTATTTGCTTTCATTCATGCTAAAATTTCATATTTGATTTGACACTTTGGAGGAAAAAGGATAACACACACATTCATGAGATCACTTTGCAATGAAGCCTTCACTTTCATAGTACAAACTTTTATGCTCATGTTACAGCCATGGTAACTTCCTCATATACCTCAATAGAAGTGTTTCTGTGCCCTGTGAGATCGCTCATTCTCTTACCTAAACTTACAAAAAGTAAATGTCTGCTCGTCATTCCCTATGTGACCATAATGGCAAAAGAAAGTGAGATCTGTCATGTATCTCAGCCGTGTATCAACGAGCCACAGCTTCTCGTCAGCTCATATTTTGATATGAACATCACTTTCTGATCAAAAACAATTTTTACTTGCACTTAAAAGTACATTCTCCTTCATTGTCTCTCTTCTCGGCCATCCCGTTGGATCAACCAGGGGAAAACGTTTCGCTTCCTTCTAGGTTAGCAGTTTGAAACATCACAACACTACATGACTTCTGAGTAATAGCCTTCAGCAAAGTGTGGTCTGATGCACACCTGAAGAAGGGGTGCATTAAGGGTGAAAGGTGGCACCACTGGGAAAACAACACCAGAGAATTGGGACACCCTACGGACTTGGACCCCAAAGCGGGAACGCTCAATTTGGCGGCACAAGGGTGGAAGTGTACACACTGAGACTACAGACTCTGAACTAGTTTTTTTTACTTGATTCATTCATACAGGCGTTAACCTACTCCTTTAATGCACCTTAGGGTAGTACAGTTGATGAGATGACACGGACATATTGTATCCTATCAGATAAACTTAAAGGGAGCTTGTCTAAAAGGGTCTTGAATATCCTTACTTCTAAGGCTTTATATGTGATTTTTCACACTTAAATATAATATAAATCAAGTATATCCTCTGAAAATAACTCTGTGAGTCATGACTGTCTACAATGGGTGTAACACCCGAGTCCCACTGTCTGTGATGTTTTCAGAGTCCTATCTTCAGTTTGTTTACATCGCCCGGACTGCCGGCCGGCTCATCCCCTCGCGTATAAAAGTTGTTTAATTGAGTGACTAGAGAAAAGAAGAATAACATACTGCACTCACTGCTTAACTGTGTTTCTAACTCACGCTCATTTCAGGTAAATTGACATGCAGTGTGAAGATACTGGCATAATAAAGATCACTAGCATTAGCATGCTAACACAACAATGCAGTGCAAGTTGTTTTGGTTTCATGCTAGTGCTCAAGGGCGACATCTGCTGGATCAAAAAATCGCATATTAAGCCTTTAAGTACACATATGACAAGTTTAAGAAGTTTTAAATGTCAGCTAGATTAGTCTCTGTATCAATTCTGTTTAGTCTGGTTAAAAAAAGCCTGCTCTAGAAACAGTATCAAGTAATTTGTAGTAAACGTGTGAAAATTGAAATTCTTTACAGCCTAGCTTCAAAAGGTAGATTTTCCAATGCCTTGTTGTTCATAAACTGCAGCTTGGGGTCTTGACAGTTGACGGAGTAGCTTAATACAGGGCTTTAATAAACAACAGTAATAAACAAAAAGGTGATTTGATCTAAATTCAAAATATTAACACAGACATGGAAACTTCTTACACAAGCCAAATGTCTTTTCAGATACAAAAGAGTAAATAAATCAATGTGTTAACTTTGTTGTATTCCTTCTAATAGCTTCTCCCTCTTCTTGGTCATTAATCTCATGTTAAATTAACATTAGTTAAGCAGCACATACTCCACATAATATAACATTAATTAAAAAGCAGGTAAATTTTAGCACTAATTATTCATGGTTCAAAGTCATTATCACTGTCAAACTGTATGACTTGATAATGACTGTTTCCTCAAGAGTGAACTGTGAATCATAAAAGTGTGAACACCCAGCTGTTCACCTTCTGTCAGGCCATCCATTAATGGTTCCTCCCATCACTTTTCATCCATTCATTAATTGATGTCTTGGTTCTTCTCTTTCTTTTTGTGAATTCGCATTGTTTCCTTTTTTCTAGGTCCTTGCTTGAGTTGTACTTACTCTCTGATGTATGTCACTTTGGATAAAAGCGTCTGCTAAGTGAATTGTAGAATTGTAGCTCCTGACATCAAAGCTCTCAGGGTTATGGGGCCTCAAAGACCACCCATACCAATGCGGTGGCAATTCTTGTAGGGGTCTCTTTAAACCTAATACTCAAATATATTTCCTAGTTCTTTGTGTAGTCCTCCTAATACTGCATTATTAACAATGCCTCCGTTTTAATCCTCTCCAGCACAGGAGCTGAAACAGGACTGGCCAGTGGATTCTACGGTTTATCTGGAGGACATGACCTGGGACCAGGGTAACTGCACATACATATAATACAATAAAACCCAGACACAAAAAATAACAATGGCAGGCATCTTTTTGAATTGTATTTATATCTATGTTTTTAAATACAATGCTGTACAATTGACACATTGTTCTAATAATTTAATCATGTGAGTTTCTTTTTTTCGGTTGTCTTAAATTACTCATATTATATGTACATATTTATGCTCACTATCTAATGAATTCTGTTAGTTTAAAATGTATGTTTTGTTGTTTCAGGTCAGTGTGTATACACATACAGCTGTCGCTGTGGAGGAAGGTTCGATGTCTCCGTCGAGGAGGTAGAGGAGGAGACGCGGAGTCGGCGGCAGGATGGCGAAGAGGAAGAGGAGCACAGAGGAGTGGTCGTTTGCTGTGATACATGTTCCCTCAGTGTGTACGTCACATGGTCATTACATTCAAAGACTCTTTTCTTTAAATGACAATGAGACTTTTTATATGAAACACTCTTTATTCTGCTGAGTCAGACCATCATTTTGGCAACATGTACCTTTCTGGAAGAGAGAGAATCAATCACTACAACAGTTAGGTTGGCTGGCTGAAGTGGACAAAGTAAGAGTTCTTCAACATCTCAGACCTTGTGTTGAACATCTACATCACTCTTTTAACAGGGCTTCAAGGCAAAGGGATATATTCACCAATTAAAATATGCCATTGACTGACTCAGCAACTTGAGGATTTTGAAGTGAACATCAAAACATCAATGGACAGCTCATTTTTTTACATACGACACAGAGACTTATCAAGATCACAAATAGAAGAGTAAATGTAAGCTTCAGGGCCATTCTTTATGTCTATATATCACTGAAACGTGAAGGATTTGTTTTATTCTTTATGAATTTAATTAATATATTTGAAAGTTATTGAAAAAAGGAATCTGACATATTTTACAGGATTGTACATTAAAACTGCTTTGAAAGATGGAATATTGTTTGTATGCTTTCTATTGATCGTTTGAAGATTGTTTTCACTATTTTTGTCACGACCCATCAAGACAAGTAAAAAGGATAGATTCCAAAACTGGTTGATGACTTCAGCTGTGCCCGAGTCGTCATCATAGACTGTTAATGGGCAAAGCCTGAGTGACTTCACCCATCTGTTGCTGTCCAAACTAAAAAGCCTAGTTTCTTCTTCACTATTGTTTGGAAAGAGGTTGAAATGTTTTATAAACACAGGGAGAGTTTGAGTGACAATCCGCCGCCAGCACCGAGGGGCCACGCAGCCTCGGGTGCTGGGATCTCAACCGGTAATGATCCCTCTGCAGGTTCTGTACATGGTTGTTCAAAGGCAGTGGTCTTTTAGTCCTCATATTTAAAGTGGCATTGTTATTTTAAAATCTGAGTTCTTCATCAGCGTTTTATGATAATGCATTAGGAGAATTCACTTCTGTGTCTTTAGCGGTAGGCATGGTTGGTAGGAGGAGAAAGATAGAGCACTGATAGAGCTGTGTTTTCTTCTTTTTCTAACTTTTCTTTTGACTCTTCTCTGTGTTTTACTATGGAAAAACACAATTACAGCCGTCGATTTTTACTGGACTTAAACAGTTACAGCCTTTCTGTGGAGTTATTACCCGAATCACTGAGACAACAGCTTCAAACTTTGGGACTGCTTCGCGAGCCGGTTTACCCCCCAGAGAGGAGATGTAAACGTAAACGGTGCGAGCGGAAACAAAAGCGAGGTAAACGTGGAAGCATAAGAGCGAGACTGGCTAAAATACCACACAGGTCCGCTCTTCCAACTCTTCTACTGGCAAATGTAAGATCTCTGGACAATAAAATGGACCATATAGAGCTACTGAGAGCTGCGCAACGCGATGTGAGGGACGTTTTCACAGAGACATGGCTGAACGAACGCATCCCAGACTCCACCGTTCAGCTTGAACAATTCACATGCTACCGTTCGGACAGAATCCTTATTAAAGGAGGAAAGAAGAAAGGTGATGGAGTCTGTGTTTACATCAGTGATGCTTGGTGTCGAGATGCTGCTGTGGTATGTAAACACTGTTCACCGCTGGCGGACTTTATGATCATGAAGTGCCGTCCTTTCTAGCGACCCTGCTGGTCGCTGTGTATATTCCCCCCACCACCAACAACGCTGATAGAATCGATGCACTTTGGGAACTTTACAATGCCATCAGTGAGCAACAGACAGCTCAGGGATTTTAACCATGCAAATCTCAAGATGGTTTTACCCCACTTCCACCAACACGTGACCTTTCCCACAAGAGAAGGTAACATTCTGGACATGATTTACACATCAGTTAAAGGTGCTTACAAAGCTTCACCCCTCCCCCACATCGGTCACTCTGACCATATCAGTGTAATGCTAATGCCAGCTTACAGACCCAGGGTTAAAGTCACCAAACCAGTTCTGAAGCAGGTATGTGTGTGGCCAGAGGGGGCCTCTGCTGCACTACAAGACTGCTTTGATACCACAGACTGGGAGATGTTTAAGCAGGCAGCCACCTACAACAACCACACAGACATTGAAGAGTATTCTGACACTGTTACCTCCTACATTAGCAAATGCATTGCTGATGTCACCACCACCAGAACCATCACCACCCGGGCTAACCAGAAGCCATGGCTGACAGGAGAGGTACGCGGGCTACTGAGGGCCAGGAACACCGCCTTCAGAGCTGGGGACGCAGCCTGCCTGAGAAAAGCGAGGGCCAACCTGTCCCGTGGCATCAGGGAAGCCAAACGCAGCTACACACCAAAAATAACCGGACACTTCAAGGACAGCAGAGACACGCGGAGCCTGTGGCGTGGTATCCAGACCATCACGCACAACAAACCCAAGCCACAGACCTGTGACAGCAACACCTCTCTGCTGAACGTCCTCAACAGCTTCTTTTGAAGCCAGGTTTGAAGCACACAACAGCACGCCCCCACAGAAGACCACCCCACCTCCCCACAACCAGACCCTGTGCCTGACTGCAGCCAGCGTGAAGAGAACCTTCTCCAAGATCAACACCCGCAAGGCTGCAGGTCCAGACAACATTCCTGGCCGTGTGCTGAAGGACTGTGCAGAGGAGCTCAAAGATGTCTTCACAGACATTTTCAACGCTTCTCTGAGTCAGGCTGTTGTTCCGTTGTGCTTCAAAGCCACCACCATCATACCCGTTCCAAAGAAGCCCTCACCATCCACTTTCAATGAATGAAAGGTTAGTCATGGCCCACATCAAATCCACCCTCCCCGCCACCCTGGACCCCTACCAGTTTGCATGCCGAGGTAACAGATCCACCGAGGATGCCATCTGTTCTGCTCTTCACCCAGCCCTCACCCACCTGGACACAAAAACTCATACGTCAGAATGCTGTTCATAGACTTCAGTTCAGCATTCAACACCATCATTCCTCAGCAGCTGATCGGCAAACTGGACCAGCTGGGGCTCAGCACTTCCCTGTGCAACTGGCTGCTGGACTTCCTCAGCGAGAGGCCTCAGACAGTGCGGGTCGACGGCAGCACATCAAAAACCACCATCATGAGCACGGGGGCCCCCCAAGGTTGTGTGCTCAGCGCCCTGCTCTTCACGCTGCTGACCCACGACTGCGCTCCATCCTTCAGCAGCAACCACATTGTGAAGTTCGCGGACGACACAACAGTGGTTGGTCTCATCTCCAACAACGATGAGACGCACTACAGGATGGAGGTCAGCTAACTTGCCACGTGAACGTCGACAAGACCAAGGAGGTTGTTGTCGACGTCCAGAGATTCCCCACTCCTAAACCCCGCATGAGACGCACTACAGGATGGAGGTCAGCCAACTTGCCACGTGAACGTCGACAAGACCAAGGAGGTTGTTGTCGACGTCCAGAGATTCCCCACTCCTAAACCCCCACTAACCATCGACGGTGCTGCTGTGGAGAGAGTGAGCTGCACCAAGTTCCTGGGGGTTCACATCAGTGAGGATCTCTCCTGGACAACCAACAACACATCACTGGCCAAGAAGTCCCAGCAGCGCCTCTACTTCCTCCGCAAGCTGAAGAGAGCACGAGCCCCCCCATCCATCATGTGCTCCTTCTACAGAGGCACCATCGAGAGCATCCTGACCAGCTGCATCACTGTGTGGCTTGGGAGCTGCACTGCTGCCAACCGCAGACCCTGCAGCGCACAGTGAAGGCTGCTGAATGGATTATTGGTGTCCCACTCCCCTCTCTTCTGGACCTCTACGGTACCCGCCTCACCCGCAAAGCAACCAGCATTGTGCGTGACCCCACCCACCCCTCACACAGCCTCTTCAGCCTCCTGCCATTGGGGAGGCGGTACCGCAGCCTGCGGGCCTGCGGGCCGGCTCCACCAGGGAAACAGCTTCTTCCACCAAGCTGTCAGAAGCTTAACGCTCTCCCCTCTCTTCCTTCCCTCCCCTCTGCCCCCACGAACACTGGACGTTGAAACCCCCTCCCGTTTGCCACCAAGAACTCTGGACTAATAACTCTGAAGCTAACTATTCAAAAGTACACTCAGTTTACTGCACATTGCAGATATTGCACAAGTTTACTTTTTCTTTAAATTTATTTTATTTATTTTATTTACCATTTTGTACCTTTTGCACAATTTAGAATTTATTACTGTAAATATTATTTATCTTATTTTTACCTCATTTTATTTTATCTATTTTACCTTATCTTATTTTTACCTTATTTTGGTTGTATTGCACCGCGGGACGGAGACAAACGCAATTTCGATTCCACTGTATATTATACTGTATGGCATATTTTGAAATTGACAATAAAGTTGACTTTGACTTTGAGGAGAAACAGGGTCAGTACTGATGACACACCTGATGGGGGTGTGGTGGCTCTGTCTCTGTAATCTTCATTAGCAGCACCTGCGGAGGAGACGGGGGAAAATTGGTTTCGAGTCGATGAGACGCCATGAGGAAGACGCGAGGACGCAGACACCTGAGAGACTGAATCTGAAGTAACGTTTGTTTTGTTTCAACACTTCACGGGTTCTTTTTGCACATGAACTAAACTGATATGAAGGAGAGGGCTGGCGGAGGAGATCGTACCTATGTGGCTCCATGGATCGGGCTGTCCGAGTGAGCTGGTACGAGGATCTTTGGAGTGAGTCACCTACACGCACCCCTCAAACAGACAGGACAGTTGCTCACACATTCAGGTAAGGCAGGACACACATTCAGGTAAGGCAGGATACACATTCAGGTAAGGCAGGACACACATTCACGTTTACGCTACATGTAAGGAGAGGCATTAAGTTACGGGCTCACCGGCCTTAGCGTTAGGCACTAGGATAGCATTTAGCTGTGGGGTTGTGGAGCCTCGTAACAAGTCGGCTTTAGCGTACCATCGATGGCGGTTGCCATGCTGGAAATGCTCTCTCACCCTAACTTTCAGTCAGCTTAACGACTGACTGAGAGCTGGAGCTGCTTTTCAGCCGCTTGACAAACTGTTAAACCAATCAGCTCATCTACGTGCCTTATTGTGGATAACATAAGCAAGGTAACGTTACAGTAACCAGGATCCCTGTCAGCTGTCGCTTTCTGTCAGTGTTCTGGAGCAGTAATATTAGTAAAATGTCAGTGATATTTTTCTCAACATAATACTTGAAGGTGGTAAGGAGCAGTCCATCCTTTTATTTGTTAAAGGGACAGAAGCGTTTAATCACATTCATTGACAATCTCAGTTTGTTTTTTGGATTAATTTCTGTAAAAGCACAGCCCAATCGATGAAATTGAACAGCTGTCTTTCATTAAAAAAAAAAAAAAAACTGCTTAAAACACCTAGATGTCAACTGAGACTGACAGTTTCTCCATAGCGTACAGCAGTAGGAAGCCTTTCTTGCCCGCCAGGGTGGGCAGTTCCATAAATGTGTGACATCATGTGAAAGCTAAGAATACGGGGACACGGCTGAGAAATGTTTGAAGGGTAATGTAGTCATTTAAAAGTATCTGAATATT